TTAAATTGTTACCTCTTAACATTTTAAATGCTTCACCAGCAACTATAAACGTCTATTACAGCCATTACCTACAATGGATTTACTATTTTCTATTTACTTACTGAATACTATATACCATGTATTGGAGTTTAGACTCCAAAATGGAAAACTGAATCAAATAACTGGTCCTTTGTGTTCACTTTTCTTCTTTTAGGAAAAACACACAAAGTTCCTTTTCACAGTAGTGTCCCATGCTGAGGATGACTGTCAGTCAGTTAGAGAGGAGCTCTGGATTACCTCACAGATTGTAAATGAGTAAAGGACTTGCATTAAATCTTAAAATAGTAAGACTTCAGTAGGAACTTTTTCTTCATTGTAATGTATGAAACACGTGGGGTTAAATGTTTACACAATACCTTTGTGTGTATTCATAAAAGCACTTCGTGGGTGGGCAAATGTCTTCTTTTTCTCTTTTCTCTTCCTTCCCTCCCTCCCTCCCTTCTTTCTCTCTTTCTTTCTTTCTTCCTCTCTTTCTTTTTTTTCTTTTCTGTCAGGCTAGTCCCATCAAGGGCCGCTGAAACCACATAAAATCACTAGATTTTTTTTTTTTATTCAATAAAAATGAAATGTTGGAAGGCACTTGCTATAATACAATTTTTGGGTTTTATAATCAAACCTATTTTGGCCTGTAAGTCTATGTTACTTACACTTTATCTTCTATGACCTTTATCTTAGCCTCATAATTATCTTTTTATGAGCTGTTTGCTGTAGAGGAATTGAGTTTTCATACCTGTTTGCACTGGCACAACTCAGGTCCTCAGTGTTCAGCATAGATGCCACCGAGGCATGTGGCCCCGTAGCTTCAAGTTTAAGCTCCTTCATAATTAAATAAAATTAAAATTTACTTTCTCTGTCACATGAATTGTACTGTAGATAATCATGAGCAAAGTTGAAGTTGAGCAGAAATATAATTTAAGCTCTTAAACTTCCCGGCAAAAGCATAGAGGCAGGCGGGTCCCTTTATATCATGACCACATGTTCTCTTACCCATTATACTTAGTTTTGAGTTACTTACCACAACACCCGTGATTATCAAACATCTAATTTTATGCCATAAGACCACTTAAATTAGACATGTGATGAGATTTTGTAGTGGGTCTGGGATTGAGTCTCAAATATTTTTGAGAAGCCAAATTAGAATGCTTGGGCAGGAGCATGCCAATCATCCAGTCCAGACTGCCTTTTCTAGATGGGGTCCTTGTTACATAGTTCCAGTTGACCTCAAACTCACACTTCTCCAACTTTTCCCCCGAGCACTAAGATGACATGTATGTGCCACCACATCCCACTAAGAATACAAGTTTGTGCCACCACGTCCCGACTTCAATGCTAGACAGTTTTTTAAAGCTTTGCTATCATATCAAATTAAATTTGCAGAAAGCGCAATTTCCTGCTGATATATTTGTCTCTTGCAGAGGTACCATCTTCAAACTCCAGTTTACATTAGCTTCATTTGTCCAGTGGCTCTTTAGGAAGCTCCTGCTGTGTGCCTAGCCCTGTCTAAGCATAGGGAGATCTTCAGTCTCAGGTGAATGGCAAGTCCTTGTGCTCTTCACTGAGAACTTTACTAAAGTGTCAGGAGCAGTAGTGACTACTACACATAGTGCCTGGTTGTACCTTTATGTTTAATAAAGATCCACTTAATCAGTTCCATCAAGAAATTAAATGCTAGGAAAAGTTCCTAGTATGATTGACTAGGATTCCTTCTGTGAGAGAATATTGCCTTGCTACAGAGAAACTGTGAGATCCAGGTACGGCTTTAATTATTGCCAACATGGTGAGCTAGCTCCTTCCCCTCCTTCTCGGCCTCACACTTCGTCCAAATCCCAGCTCTCACATTCTGTCTTTTTTGTCTTTCTCTGTCATAAGTGCACACATGCACACACAGAGCCATTGTTAGAGGCTTAGTTTATGGTTCACGTTGTGTTCACCTATACAGTTTGGCAATACAAATGGGTAAGGAACAGAGGAAGAGGTGAAGGAGGTGAACACTTTCCAGATGGATCTGTGAACTTTTGGGAAAGCCGCAATTGTGTTCTGAGAGATGTTGACTCATTCCTAAGCTACAAATGGGTTTCTGTATTTATTCTAATTGTAAACTTGGAACGCCTTTGAAGATTCCAGTTTTAGAGCTGATTGTCACACGTATTTGAATGCTTGACGGGAACCTTTGAGATCATCTACTCTAACTCTGTAATCTTGCTACAAGGTAAGTCCTAGATATTAATTCATTTACACAGACATTCAGGCAAGATGCCTCAGAGGCAGAGCTCAAAGTGAGGTGCCCATGTTTTTAGACTTGTCTTCTTTCTATCAATTTTAAGCTAGAAAATACTGTTTATGTCTTCATAGTAATGAAAGAGCTTTGGAAATTATTCCTTTTATCATATTATATGTAGTTTCTAAAATGTCAGTTCTAACAGACTTGTTTGGGTTGTTTGTTTTTGACATGGGGTCTCATGTGATCCAGGCTGGACTTAAACTCCTGTTCCTCCTGCCTTCATCTCCTATGTGCTGGGATTACAGGAGTGTGCCACCACATCTAGCTTCAATTATATGCCACCCTGTGCCAGGAGCTGTACTCGCACTGGGCATGTGAAGATGAGGCTGGTTCTTGCACACGTATAAAAGGAGGGCAGAGACGCTGCTCAGCGGCATGAGCAGGCCACCGAACTGTTGGCTGGAGAGTCATTTCTAACCCCTGAGGGTTTCAAAATCTAGAGAATGACAATGTATTCAGTAAATCAAAATGAGAATTTTGCCTCACACCCACATGATAGTTGCAGTGTAGAGAAACTTCAGAAGAAAGACTTCTGTAAATAGAACTACAGCAAAATAATAATAAAATAATGAAGCTTAGAATTTCTTCTGCATCTGTGGTGAATGTTTAAGTACCAGATATACTCATCTGGTCTGTGGTGAGCTCCTCCTATGCAAATGGGACACGTCCAAGATTTATTTTTGCACAAATTCACAGGTAAGATAGCCTGTTAGCTTTTATGTCCCAGTAAATTTGACATGCTATTGTAAGATATCCATGTCCCCTCTCCCCCTATCAAGCTCATTCCTGAGCCCAACTTAGATGCATCTGCATCTGAGGGTTGGGGCGGGTCTGATGAGAGATCCTTTAAAATGGTTCCTGTCCAAGATGGGCCACTGCTGCAGATGATTATTTCTTATTGGAATGTTGAAAATTGTAGGTGTAGAAACTTAACTGGACATGGTTATTATTTACAAATTATGCCCTTTTAAAAAAGAAATTTTAACTTTGTAGTCTGCTGATCCTCTTTCATATATTTGTATCCTGGGCCCTAATTAATAACAACTGCCTTCCCCAAGAGGAAGAAATCATTTTTTAATTGAAGTCAAAGGATGAGAGAAAGCACATTAATCTCTGTTGTAAGAGATCTGGATTCCCAAAGTCCTTACTCTGTATCTAAAATTAAGAGTAAAACTTTGAACAGGTCACCCAATCTCCTTGGGCCTCCGAACACTTTTATGTATAAAGAAGGATCTTGTAGGAAATTCAAATGGATGGTCTCTGAAGGCTTGACTTTTTACTCTGCTAAGTGAAGTAAGCCAGTAGGCTGGAAATGAGATCTGAATTGTGTACCAAAGTGTACTTTTCAAATTTCTGCAATATATGTGGCCACATGGTTTACTTTCCTTAAATATTTTTATAAAATATAAATGATGCCTTTAACTCTTCTTCAAGGCTACGATGCCACACCACACCGAGTCTCTGACCTCTGGCCAGGTGTGGTGCTGGCAGCTTCTCCGCTGTGTCCCAGCATGCCATCTCTAATCTGTGATGACATGTTTCCTCATCAGAGGGCCCCTCATTAAGAGGGTCTACATATACTTTAATATGCATATTTCCAGTGACTAACACAGTATTCTGCACATAAGGACAGTAAAACTCAGGAGTCTGAGGCAGAATGATCATGAGTCCAAGACCTGCCTGGGTTATATAGGAAGACCCTGTCACAACAAACCAAGGGCTGGAGAGATAGCTTAGCCCTGGAGCACTTAAAGATTGTTAAGTAAAGAAATGTTTTCCATATAGGCAGGTTCGTTTATTCTGTCCTGTCAATTTTCAAAATATCATAATCTAAAAATGCTCACTGTGTTAGTTATTTTTTGTTGTTGTTGCTGTAAACACCATAACAAAGGCAATTTATAAAAGGAAGAGTTTATTGAGCTTAGGTTCCAGGGAGATTAGAGTCCATCGTCATGGGCAGGCATGGCAGGAGGCAGGTGGAGCAGACAGCTGAGCACTCACAGCATCAAGTAGGCACAGGGAGCAGAGAGAGCCACTGGACGTGGGGTGGGCCTATGAACTCTGGAAGGCGCCCTCAGTGACTGCTTCCTTCCAGAAAAGCCACACCTTCTGAACCTCCAAAAAACACCACCGACTGGGGCCAAGTGTTCAAATACTTGGAACATATGGGGGACATTTCTTCCTAAGCGCCATACTCACCATTTTATCATCATTCCAAATTCAGAGCTGACTAGGCATCCTTTACGTGACGGACCCTAGAAACTCAGGACCTTGCGGAGCTCATGGTTCAGCAGAGGAGACAGGCAGGGGCATGGCGCTGACTGCACTTGTGGTGAAGGTTACTGTAAGTGAAAACTAAACAGACAGACAGAAGTTTAAATCACATTTGTACTATGACTCATATTTTGACTTATGATAAATATTTTTTCTTGGCAAACGTGATTTCTTTCTTAAGTCCGGCTCCTTTTATAACATCTCTTTACCAGTGATGTCATAGATTATTACTCACAGCAGGATTTGGTCTGTGAGACCTGAAGGAGACTAAATTTCTTTTGAGCACTACACCTCTTTCATGTCTCCCAGTGTTTTTCCAATGTTTGTCAAGATTAGCACACACCTCTCATTCTGAAATACCACGTACATTCTGCCCTTTCATTTAAGTGTGTTTTGCTTCTTTCAGGAGGATTTTCTATGGGAGGATGCATGGCAATGCATTTAGCATATAGAAATCACCAAGATCTGGCAGGAGTATTTGCTCTCTCTAGTTTCCTGAATAAAGCATCTGTTGTTTACCAGGTAAGTTCCAGATTTAAGAAGCAACACACAAAACGATGTGGAGCTCAGATTTATTGAAACTAAAGTCTCTAATTAAGCAGTAAAAAGTATGAACAGTTCATCAACCCTGGATTCATGGCTAAACAAATCTTGTTGATTCCAGGCAGTCCTTAATGTTCAGGAAGTGCTCCATGAAAATAGTTACAGAGAAACGATGTGTATGTTCACTGTATATGTGTCTATGTGTGTCTACATCCTTTATACAAACTAAAAGTGTGGATGACTACTACAGTTAGATTCGCTCATCATAAGCTACTCCCAGAATCATTCAGAAGGCTAATACCTGCTTCCCAGCAATCTTCTAGTTTATGCAGATTATATCATAATAGATTACATCATAATAGATTACATCATAGCACCACAGCCCCATCACAAGAACAAGTAGAAGTGAGAAAACAAAATAAAAATAAGTCAGAACCCCGCGGTCCCTGTGGGTGGGCCTGGGCTGTGTTCTTCTCCCTCGTGCTCTCTGTCATGAGAGTCTGCCTTCATGCACCACTGGGTTTCTTGAGGAAATGCTTTGTCCACCTGTGAGAGAACCTTCATGGAGGAAGTGCAGGCCACACCCCGCACAGCCCTCAGCAGCCTACAGGGAGGCCTGTCCAGGCCATCAGTGCGGTCTTCACACTGTAGCACATCAGCATCCTCTTCTTGACCGAAAGGAGCTTCAGGAGAACCCGCCTTTTCCTCTCCAATCGCCTGGGTGGACCTTTCGCATCTTTCTCCCCAGGCACTTCAGGAAGGTGACAGCATGCTTCCTGAGTTATTCCAGTGCCATGGCGTGGTGGACAACTTAGTTCTTCATTCTTGGGGTGAGGAGACAAACTCGACTTTGAAATCTCTCGGAGTGAGCACCACGTTCCATAGTCTTCCGGGAGTTTATCACGAGCTCAACAAGACTGAGCTAGAAAAACTGAAGTCATGGGTTCTTACAAAGCTGCCGGGAGAGATTGAAACACACAATGAGTGAATTGTGACTGACATATGGGTAATTTATCTTACATTTTCTTTTTTATTTGATTTTCATAACATTTAAGCTTATATAAATGGCAATGTATGGCATTTGTTTTTCCACTCAAAAATTGTTTTGCAAGTCATCCATGTCACACATGCCAGTAGTTCATTTATTGTTGCTGAATAATATTCCAATGTATGGATGGACTGCATATGTGTATCCCATTCACCATGGACTTGGGTGGCTTCCAACGTGGGGCTATCATAAACAAAGCTGTTTTGAATATGTAAACATCTCTGCCTAATTCCTTGTCCTCACAGTGGAATGACTGGGTAACTGTGGCATAGGTAAGTATGGAACTTTGCCAGAAACAGCCTGTTTCCCGCTGTGCTTTTCAGTCAGCAGCAGTGTGCTCCAGTTGTCCGGTCGTTGGCTAGGACTCAGTCTAGGTAGTCCTTCATTTTGCTGGTTCTGGTAGGTGCGTGGTGGTATTAACGTGGTTTGATTTTCATCTCAGTGCCAATGATGTGAATCAATCTTATGTGCTCTTAAAAAGCACCAACTCTCGGTGTGAAGAAAACGTTTTCTGGAGTATGTTCACATCCTTGTCAAAAGTCAGCTGACTCCTCTCAATCTGATTCTGATTCTCTTTGGGAAAGTGATTTTTTTACTACCAAATTATAACAACAAATAAAATAGTAAGGAAAAATTTACTGAACTTTGTATTTTTTACTTTATTATTATTTGGGGATGTTTTATTTTCATTTTGGTATGTTTTTGAGATAGGGTCTATCTCCATTTAGCCCCAACTAGCCTAGAACTCACAATGTAGATTAGGCTGGACTTGATCTCATAGAGATCTGCCTGCCTCTGCCTCCCAAGTGCTGGGATGAAAGGTGTGTGTCTGACCCTATTATTTTTTTATGTGTATGAGTGTTTTGCCTGCAAGTGTATAAGCATACCACATGCATGCAGACCAACAGAGGCCACAAGAGGGCATCAGATCCATGGAGTTAGAGACAGTTGATAGCTGCCATATTGGTGCTTGGAAATGAACTTGGGTCATCTCCAAGAGCAGCCAGTGCTCAACTGCTGAGCCATCTCTCCAGCCCCCAACTTATGTATTTATTAACTACTGAAATGCCTATTTACATAAAGAGTAATATGATCTTATTAAAGGTAAAATTAGTTTAGATGAATATCTGTGCATTGTTTTTCAGATAAGCTATTAAATAGTTAAAGACCTTTTAAGTACTTAAACAGTCCATCTTAAAAAATGCAGTATTCTGAACCAGTAACATTTCAGATAAACATGAAAGCTTTTGGTGAAATGTGATTTAATTTTTCTGACCACTTTCTTTAGATTAGCATTCCATAAGCTGATACTTCAACACCAGACATCAACTTCCAGTAACCACGTGACTAATTTCACAGAAGAGAAGGCAGCCTTTCCTTTGGACTTTAGGTATTAAGTCCTTTTATCATGTAACAGGGCTGTGAGAAGTGGATCTCTTTAAACACTTCAAGAGCAAGCCAGGAGAGATGGCTCAGTAGTGAAGAGCTCTTAAGTGCTCTTCCAGAGGATCTGAGTTCAGTTCCCAGCACCCATGTTGGGTGACTCACAGCCACTTCTACCTCTAGCTTCCTAAGGGACCTGAGAACCTCTTCTGGTCTCTTTGGGCACCTGCACATATGTGGTTCATACATACACACACATGTGCATGCACACACACAAATAAATCTTTAAAACTTCCAAGATCAATAAACATTCAGGTAAATTAAAAGAGCCTTTTAATTACTGTTTAATATTTTTATTGATTTGAGAATTTCATATAATGTATTTCAATCATAATCAGATCCCCCCTTTGTACACCCACCTTCTACACACCCCCATTTCCTGTCCTTTTTATTATCTGTGATTTAAAAGGACCTATCGAATCTGTTTTCCAAGTGCTCCTGGCTGTTGGTCTTTCTCCTGCAGTCTGGTCAACCTACCAGATGTCACGCTAGTAAGGAAAACTGACTCTTCCATCAGTTGCCAATAGATCCTTGTATTAGTCACTTTTCTGTTGCTGTGATAGAAACACTGACCCAAGCAATTTATAGAAGGAAGCATTTATTTGAGCTTACAGTTCCAGGGGAATTATAGTCCGTCGTGGCAGGGAGACATGGTGGCTGGAGGTGGCTGGAGCAGGAGCAGCAGAAGCTAAGCTCTCACATCATCATGCAGGCACAGGAAGCAAGAGAGGGACTGGAGATCTGGCAAGGCTTAAGAACTCTCTAAGCCCACCCCCAGTGGTGCTTCCTCCAGGATAGCCACACTTTCTAAAACCTCCCAAAACAGTGCCATCATCTGGGGACAAAATGTCCAAATACTTGGAGCCTATGGGGGACATCATTCAAACCATCACAATCCTCAACCAGGGCTGGACTCCCTCCTCCATCCATGCTGAGAACCTGTCTGGCTTGGGTTGCACAGGTCTTGTGCACATTGTCATAAGTGCTGTGGGTTCATACATGCAAGTACCCTGTGGGGTCCAGACAACAGTTCCCTGATATTCATCTACCACCTGTGGGTCTTAAAAATCTTTCCATCTACTCCTGTACAGTGGTTCCTGAGCGTTGGAATGAGAGGTATGATACAGGTGTCCCATTTAGGACTGAGCTCTCCCCAGTCCCTTATGCTCTGCACATTGACCAATTATGCATCTCCATGCTAATACCCACCTGATGTAAGAACCTTCTCTGCTGAGAGTTGAGAGGTGCCTTAATCTGTTGGTATAACAAACAGTCATTATAAGTTTAATATTATGTCTATTTAGCAGAATAAGTTCTCTCCTATGGTCTGTGACCAATCTAGCCACAAGTTCTTGGTCCTAATAACAGTGTCAGACATGTACTCCATCTTGTGAGGCTCTAAATCCAATTAGAAGGAGGCTGATTGCTCCCATAATATTCTTTTTTATTTTAATTTTATTATTTTATGTATATGAGTGTTTTGTATGTATGAATATAAGTACGTGCAATGCCCATGGAGGTCATAAGAGGGCGTCAGATCCCCCGGAACTGGAGTTATGGATGGTTGTTAGCCACCATGTGGGTGCTGGGAACTGAGTGCTCTTAACTGCTGAGGCATCTCTCCAGCCCCTCCCATAATATCTGTGCCATTATTGCACCGGGGCATGTTTTGGCAAGTGAGTTGTAGGTCACAGCTGGGTAAAGTTGGTGGATACCTTTGTCAGTAAGGTAACAGGTACACCTTCCAGTACTATGTGAAGCTAGCCAGCAGAGATGTAGCTTTGAGGTCAACACCAGCTTGATTTCTCCTTGTTTGCTCTGTGATTCAGGTATGTAGTGTCTTCAGCAATAGGATCTTGCCATACAATTCTGGCCGGTAACCAAGTGCAGTGGCAATGGCCAGTATTGTTTGAGGATCTTTGGGATCTCTCTGGTCAACAACAGCAAAAGAGGGAGGTCCATTCCCAGAGTTGAGTTTTTAATTTGCTAGCTTGTGTTGTCTATTAGGGCCACTGACCCCCTGTTACAGTAGTTATCCTGAAAGAGTCTGTTGAAATAGCAAGTGATGATAGATTATTTTCAAATAGTAGCTGAAATGCATGTTTTGAAATCTTAATCATTCTATGAAATGTCATGAGTCTTGGGGCAGCTGATTAAGCCTGTCCTGCTTCTGCCATGGAATTCAGTAGATTTAGCATCTTCCATTGCTGGAAGTAAATCTAGAGACTATTGCTTTACACCCATGGAAAGCTGAGGTCCAAAGAAACACAGTGGCACACTCATGTTCTGAACACACAGGGTCAAGGCATACTTCCCCCGACTGACCTATGGCTGTGCCACCTGCCACAAAGACAGCAGAAAGTGTGGATGACGTTCACATGAAATCAAGGCACTCTATAGACAGAACTATTTCCTTTCTACTGTGAGTATTTTATAATCGTGGAGTTTGGGGGATCCATTTTTGTTGACTTACCAAAGGGTGAGCGGGGTTCTCTCCATGACCTCAGTGTAATCAAAGCAGGTCCAACCTACATTTATAGTCATGATGTAGATTTGCATATAGGGGTTCTTAAAGATTATTAGTCCTTTCTCTTGGAGTTCTCATTTTCTAAGCACCATGGCCTGCTTTGGTATTAGCATTCTGTATCTTTATAGGATTTGACACTTTGATTACCCCAGACTCCAGAAATTCTCACCTTCCAGTCTGCTTGTTAGTCTCTTGAGACTCTGTTTCCAGGACTCCTTCATCATCTTCATCATCATTCTTGTACTGTGGAGTCAAAGGCTCCTACTAGTTTTGGTCTCTGTCTCTGTCGTCTCTGCCTCTCTCTCTCTCTCTCTCTCTCTCTCTCTCACACACACACACACACACACACACACACACAGGCACACACTAAAATTCCTGAGACATGCCAAACCCTTTGACAGCTTTTCCTGTAGCACATTATTTCCTCTGATTGGAATGCTGTCATCTCCAACCGACAAACTCTCAACCTTCAGACATAGATTTTGGGAGGCCCAATGACTTACCCACTTGTTGTGGGCAGAAATGACTCATGCTCCTCTCTGTCCTGCTGGCTTCTGTGTTTATCTTTTTTGTATCACAATCATCCATTCACTCCAAATTGAGTTGAAAGACAATGGCTAGAGTTCTTCTCCTTCTGTGTGCCTGGTAAAGTGACTGGTTCAGAGTAGAAAAGCAGTCATGATGCCACCAGCAGTATTTCTTTCTGGATTTTTTAACCATTTGATCTGTCTTCCTGTCCTCTAGAATTCATTTCCTAAGAATCAGGGATGTGCTCCTAACTTTGTCTGGTTAGATTTTATTTTTATTGAAGCAATCTTGTACAGTTGAATGTCAATCAAGTGCTTAACTGAGCTCCCACCTGATTCCAGGCAGATACAGACTATTAGTCAAACCATTTTCACTTTAGAAATCCAAGGGGTTGAGTCACACTCTCCCCAAAGTAGCTGCTTCCAAATGAAGGTAAAACTTTGGGTGATAACAAGTAATCAGAAATCAGAGAGAATATTGGATTACTTCAAATTTTGGTCCAGATTTTTTGTTGACAGCCTTGAGATACAGATGCATAGAATGTCACTTTGTATGACACCATGTGTACCATGACTATCTAACAGTTAATCGCTGATTATTTTATTAGTAATTAATTATAAACCAATACATTAATAATTAAAGTTATTTTGTTAGTAATTGCTTATTAGTTATTATTCACTGCTCTGTTATTTTTTCCTTACTTTTCCTATTCAAATAATAGGGCCATTTATTCCACACTACTTGTAATGGTTGGTGTACAAACAAAAATAATGAGCAGCCAGGGGGCATGGTGCACACCTTTAGTTCCAGCATTCAGGAGGCAAAGGCAAGTGAATCTCTGTGAAACTGAGGCCAGCCTGGTCTACATAGTGAGCTCCAGACCAGCTGGGGCTACAGGAAAACCTGCAATAATAATAATAATAATAATAATAATAAATATGGAATGTAAATGTTTGCAATGATATGTAGAGAGCAGTATCATTGAGTTACAGACTATGTGTAACAAAATAAGAAACTTGCAAGAGTAATATCTAGTGATTGTGTTACACCACTGAGCAGGTGGAATGTCCCAGTATCTATTTTCAAACAATCTCTAGCTCATATTTGAAAAGCTGCTAGTACAATACACAAACCCTTTTTTTCTG